CCCCCCCCCCCCACCCCCACCACACACACCTGCGCCTGCGCGCAGGCAACCCCACCTCACGCCCCTTACCACCCCCCCCCCCTCCCCCCCCCCACCATGTCAAAACTAACAACCCCCAGCCAGAGGAGGCAGGCGAGGCCGTGGACCGCGCTCTGGACGCGCTGCGCCTCCTGCACGACGACTACGGCGGCGCCATTGCGCGCATGCGCGCCCTGCGCGGCGACCGCGCCGACCGCTCCGGCGTGGCCTGGGCGCTGGGCACGGTCTTCGCGCACGCGCAGCACGGCTACCGCGGCGTCGTCTTCGGGTGGGATCGCGAGTGCGAGCGCGACGCGGAGTGGGCGGCAGCCATGGGGGTGCGCCCGCGCCAGCCCTTCTACCATGTGCTGCCCGACGAGGGCGACTGCGTGCGCCTCTTTGGCGGTGTGCGCGTCAGCAAGTACGTGGCGCAGGACAACGTGGTCCCGCTGGCGGGGGCCCGCGTCATGCACCGAGCCCTGGACAACTACTTTGACGGGCATGATGCGGGGACGGGGCGCTACATCCCCTCCCGCAAGCTCCAGTTCGAGTACCCAGACGACTACCGGGCGCTGACGCCGCAGCCCGTGGGGGCAGACTCCAACCTGCTGGCCCACGAGGAGTGGGAGGCGGGGCCGGCGGGGACACAGCGGACGCCAGGCCCCTGACACTGGCTGGGGGGGCCTAGGCCTGATGACGCCGGCCATCGCCAGCACCGGTGTTGGGCCGCGGTTCGTCCCACGGTTGACTGCATCTGCTTGATCGTCATATCACCCTTCGTATCCCTTGGCCACCTTCAGAGGCAGCCATGCCCAACCCTCTGCTGGCGCATGATGCCTCACCAGCCCTCAGACTCAGCATGCAGATGCGTGCACGACACCCAGTCCCGTTTCTGCCCCGCCCCTCTGCTTGTGTGGGCAAACGTGTACACGTACAGAAGGAGAATGGCCCAGGAGGGGGCGGAGCAGTTTTGGTACAGGATGTGTCAAATTCGGCGGCGCCCCGGCACGGCTACCGTCCGCGCGAGGCCCTACTCCCCGGTCCTCAGCGCCTTCCGCGCCTTCTTGCTCTTCTGCATCTTCTTGGCCGTGGCGCTGGACACCCGCACCGTCACCTCGCTCTTCTTGCGGTTCTCCTCCTTCTTGCGCAGCACCTCCTCGCGCTGGGACTTGAGCATCTGGCGAGGGCGGGGAGGGTTGGGGGGGGTGAGAGGGCTCTTAGATGTGTGACCACTGGCCAGACCGACGAGTCCATGCTGCAGGCCAAGCAACCTCAAGGGGCCACCCACCCCAGGACCCAGGGACTCACCCCCTTCTTCGCCTTCCAAGCGGCCTGCGACTCCCGCTTCTGTTCCAAAAAGGAAGCCTTCTCCGCTTTTATCCTCATTTTCTCATCCCAGCTGGTGGACAGTTTGGGGTTGCGGAGTGTGCCTGCACGCTCGCCTGCCTGCTTCCAGCTACGCCCAGACACCTGCAGGCCAAGGTTGGTTGAGTGCTTGGTCATCTGGAGGAGTTTGTAGGACCCGGAGCCCTTGAAACTCAACTCGAGGCCCAGCACACACCTTGGCCAGGCCATGGGTGTTGTGCTTCACTTTTTTCCTGGGTCCGAATGGCTGCACCTCGCCCGCCATGGCCTGCTCCTCCTGCTCCTTCTCCACCTGCAAGCCGATATGAGTGCGTCTGGATGCTGCGGACGCCAAACACATTGTAGGCGGGTCGCGACCCGGGTGAGCATGCACCTGTTCTTCGTACTCCTCCAGCCTCCTCTTCTGGCCTAGCACGCCCTTCTTCGTCACTCCGACTTTAAAGCCTCGGGGACCATCCGGGAACCCGCGAAAGTCTGTCACGGGCTGCGGAATGTACTGTGGAGGCACGGGGACCTCTGCCGCCATTGCGACAGCAGCCGGGCAAACCGAATCGCCCACTAGTGCTTCCTTTTGCAAGAAAAATCACTAAATTGTCATGCTCAATCACGTTTTGACCGACATGGTTGCTTCACTGCCATGATACACGCCAACTCCCCGAGACATGCACTCCGACGGGCGCGCCTGCGCCTGGGCTCATACCGGGTTCCAGGCACCAGATGCAATGGTCGTCACTCCGGACCACCTCACCCTGCAACCAAGAGTAGTGAGCTGGTCTTGCACCTTCGGTATCAGTTCGTGTTCAGCCTTTAACAAGAGGAGGAGCTACTGGACAATCAAAGCAAGTGTGAGAACCTCGTCACTTCACCTGGAGCACAGCAGCATTGCTGTCCCAGATCCTGAGGCGAATTGACCAGATTTGGCTGGAAACATCTGATCAATAAGCCAGGAACCCTGGAATCATGTCGGTAAGTCGAGGGCGTGGCCCCCTTCCCGTGATCGCCCGTCTCGGTGATCGCAACGCAAGTCGACCATCTCTCCCCCCCTCCTCGCCTCGCAGATCTTTGAGTACAATGGCAGTGCAATCAGTGAGTAGGCTAGAGGAAGGGGCGGATGTCTCTCTAGCAATCAGGGCTGGGATGGTTGCTTCCCCAAACATGCTTGGATGTGGTGTTTTAACCCCCCCTCCTTCCACCACCTCCTTCCACCAGTTGCCATGGCCGGCAAGGAGTGTGTGGCCATAGCCAGCGATCTCAGATTTGGTGTCCAGCTACAAACGCTGGCGACCGACCACAAGAAGGTGTACAAGATTCATGATCAGCTCTTCCTGGGACTCTCCGGGCTGGCAAGCGACGCTGAAACACTGTGAGTTTGAGGCTGCCTTGTTCTAGGGGCAGTATGACTCAAGTAGAATCAGCGCGTACTCTTTTTGAGAGTGCTCTGGAGGCTGATAGTAGATATCGTGTTGTTTGAAAGAGCTGGACGAGGGGGGTATGAGTGAGCCGCCCAATCCCGCTGTTACATTCTGTGCCTCAAACAATTTCCCCCCGCCCCCTCGCCCGTATCCCAGATCACAGCGCTTTAAGTTCAAGCACACCCTGTACAAGTTGCGGGAGGAGCGGGACATCAAGCCCTCTGCCTTTGCGCAGCTGGTCTCCGCCACGCTCTACGAGAAGCGCTTCGGCCCCTACTTCTGCCAGCCGGTCATCGCGGGGCTGGAGCCGGACGGCACGCCCTACCTGTGCGGCATGGACTCCATTGGGGCCATTGAGACGGCCAAGGACTTCATGATCGCAGGGACGGCGTCTGACGCCCTGCTGGGCATCTGCGAGTCCCTCTGGCGGCCAGACATGGTGAGCTGTCGGTGGGATCCGCCAGGGCAAGGACCCAGGGCTTCGCTGTGCTGCCACCTGTTGGTGGGGTACAAGATGACTAGCTGTGTCTGCCCCAAGTGCCCATGCCCCCAACGTCCGTCCTTCTGAAACGTCGCAGGGTCCAGAGGAGCTGTTCGAGGTCACCGCCGAGGCCCTGCTGTCGGGCCAGGGCCGGGACTGCCTTGCCGGCTGGGGCGCAGTGGTGTATGTCATGTGAGTTGCTGGCTGCTTGCGTCCAGGGCACTTGGTGTGGGAGGTAAGAGTGACTGAGAGTGCCCTCCTGCTCTCTGCTGACACTTTATCCAGTTCAGAATCCCACCATTCCCCTTCCATCATTCCAAACCCCCTCAGCACGAAGGACCAGATCATCGCCCGGCAGCTCAAAGAGCGGACGGTGTAGAGCGTGCGTGCGCCGCCCGTCTTGCCTCCCTGGCTGGAGTCCCCCGCCCTGAATTCCAGCGTTCACCCAACAAGAAGGCTGTGGGCGTCACCTAAAAACACACATTGGTACAAAGCCTTGGTGGGAGTGGGGCAAGGCAGCCACACACAGGGTGGGGTGCCTGGAGAGGAGGCGCTTGCACGCCCTTCCCTGGACACCTCCCAACTGAGGCGCCAGGCCGGGGTCTGCAGACCGGCACGATTCAGCAGCATACAGACTCGAGGGTACAAGGGGGTGGGGGTGGTACAACACACTGGTGCGCAGAGGGAGGGGCAGGGACCTCACACACGGCTTGCATGATGGGAACCGAGCCCGTCATGCGACGCTGCCAGCTCCGTCCCGCGCCGCAGCCTGCTCATCCTCTTCGCTCGATGTCGCTGCCTCGATGCCTTCCACGTCGCTGAACTCATCATGCACCGGCTCCATCGCTGGCTGCTCTCTGGCGGGGGCCATGGGCACAGGGACATCCCCAGCATCTGCTGCTGAAAGGGCGGGCCCCTCGCGAGCCTCGGCTGAGGTACTGTCGGCCTCGAGCGTCACAGTGGGAGCGAGCGAGGGTTCCAAGGCGGCCTCTGATGAAGCCACGGCGGCCTCAGTCGCAGGCACTGCGCTTTGCTCACGCTCCTGCTCGGAAGCGGGCTGCGGGGTAGCCTTGAGTGGGACGGTGCCGCTGGGCTCGAGCTGTGCGTACTCGCCCACTGCCTCAGGGGCATCCTCTGCAGTCTCGGCAGGAGGGGCAGTGGCAGGGACGTCTGTGGCAGCATCCTTCAGGTTGGCCTCGATAGGGCTGATGGGAATTTCCTCGACAGCCGCCACGGCGGTCTCGGGGACGTTCTCAGATGGGGCGTCATTGGCAGGCTCAGACTCAGCGTCCTGGTCGCCCAGATCTGGCGCGGCCCCCTCAGGCGTAACTCCCTCAGGCGCGGCCTCCTCCGACGCAGCCTCCTCAGACACGCCAGCATCCAGCCCCCCCTCACCGAGCTCGCTGTCGTTGCCAGGCGCGAGCATGACTGCCCCGTCGCCTGCCGGCCGAGCATCCTCCACCACTGCCGGCAGCGCTTCGCTGCCTCCAGAGGACGCTTCGTCCCGCCCTTCCAGGATCACCGGCGGCGACTTGGCCGCCGCCAACGCCGCGTCCCCCGCCGCAACAAGGGTCCTGGGCTCTGAATGATCCGCGCCTTCTTGTGCCAGGTCGGCATCGTGCCCGTCGACACGCTGCGCGGGGCTCTCGAGCAGGCCCGGCTCCTGCCACCCCTCTCCTGCCGTCGGCCCTGCCGCACACGCAGAAAGAAAGGCCGGCGAAGAGGACAGCGCGCCCAGCGACACGCCGGCGGCGGGACCCGACCCCGCGTCGAGCGCCCCCGAGGGCGTGAATGAGGCGGACGCCGCCTGGCTCGCCGCCGCGGGCACGCCCGAGCCCGGCGCGCCGTGTGGGCGGCGAACCGGAGCCGGCCGGCCTGCTGCAAGCCGCGCCGCGTCGGCCGCGCCCGCCTGCGCCCCCGCCGCCGCAAAGGGCGTGGCCGCGCCGGGCTGGCCGTCGCCGCCGCCCGCGGCGTCGGCCCCCCGGCGGTCCCCTTCCTGCCCAAGCATCGCGCCCTCCCCCAAGCCCAGGGCCGGCGTGCCGCTCTGCGCGCCGGCCGCGCTTTCCACCCCACGCTGCGCCCCCAGCGCGGCCTCCAGCTCGCCGATGCGCGCCTCGTAGGCGGCCAGCGTGGCGCGCGCGGCCTGCAGCTGCGCCGCCAGCGCGCCCGCCACCTCGTCCTTGGCGGCCAGGGCCTGGCGCCAGCGCGCGCCGAACGGCGGCGCCGGGGCCGCCGAGGTCGCGGCGCCCGAGACGCTCGGGGACGCGCCGGGGTCGGGCGCATCGCCGCCCGCGTCCGGCGCCTCGCCGCGCCCCGCCGCCGCCGCCGGCGCGGCGGCCTGCATGCCCAGCAGGGCCACTTGGACCGCCAGGTCCGCGCGCAGGCGCGCGTTCTCCAGGGTTAGGGCCTGCAGCGGGTCGGCGGCCTGACAGGGCGCGCCGTCGGTGCCGCGCGCCGGGGTCCCCGGCTGCGCGCCCGCGTCCCCGCCCTGCGATCCCTCCCCGCCCGGCACGGACCGGGCGCCGCTGCTCAGCAGCATGGCCGACGCGTCCCAGGGCAGCTGTGTGAGGGGTCCAGAGAGGGAGGGGGGGGGGGGAGTGGAACGAGATGCACCTGCCTGGTTTGCCCCGGACATGCTGGTAGACGAAGGGCAGGGGCAACACTGCTTGCACACGGCGGCACCTCGGCACCACACCGTTCCCACCCCCCTGGCACCCAGGACCCCACTCACGACCCGCACATCCTCCCCCTTCCTGACTCCCACCGGCGCACATACCTGGAAAGCATACACGTCCTCCACGCCGACGGCCAGCACGGCGCCGTCGGCGTCGCCCGGCACGTGGATCTGGCAGTGCGGCGGCGGCGCGACCAGGCCCATGGCTTCCAGCAGCGCGCCTGGGACGAAGCACTCGATGTGCGAGCGGAAGCGGTCGCGCGTGGCGGCCTCCTTCTCGCGGAAGGTGCCCACCTTCTCCGCCAGCGTGGCCGCATACTGCCCGTACCGCTCGATGAAGGTGCGCCTGGCGATGGGGTGTGTGTGGGGGGGGGGAAAGGGTCTGGTGGGGAGCTGGGGCATGCCTCGACCTCCCTGGACGTGCGAGAGGCCCTCCATTACCCCAATCCCCCAAGACACACACAGGAACACACGTCAACCACCCTCCCTCGCGCACCTGCGCAGGCACTCGGCCAGGCACTGCTTGTAGGCGGCGGGGACACGGCGCAGTTGACCCAGGCGCGTCGCCCGGCCCCGCCTGCCGCTCCGCGGCCTCGCGGTAGAGCGCCAGGCGGTTGCCCAGGTCCCGCATGCGCCCCTGCTGCACCGCGATGCTCTGCAGCTGGGCTACGGCCTCCGCGGCCAGCACGTGCCGCGCGCGCGCGACCGCGCTCAGCAGCGCCGCCGCGCCCGCGTCCAGCTCGGCCAGGCGCGGCAGCGTGGCGCCCGCGTGCGCCGCGGCCGCCGCCGCCTGCCACGACGGCGCAGGGCGGGCGTCCCCGGCGCCCGCGCATGGCTTGTACACCCCGCCGGGGGCATCGTGCGACCGACAGCTCCCCCTTTCTTGCCCCTTGTACCCGGCCACGCCGGCTGCCCGCTGTGTTCCGGGCTGTGTCCATCCCCCCCCATACGCTTTCCCCCCTCAACCCCCCCCCTGTCCTGCGTGTGGGGGCCTGGGGCGGCTGCCGGGGGCAGACGGCCGACCCCGCCCGCCCCTGGAACCCACGCGTCGAATTGTCCACCTGTGCACCCCCACCCTGTCCCCACCTGGGCGTTCCCCCCCACCGATCGGTCCAGCACCCCATTACCTTCTCGACGCTGGCATCTGGTGGCGTGAGGCGGGCGCCGCCCATCTGCCGTCTACCTCTGACCGCGCCGCTGCGCCGACGTGGCGCAGCTCGCCGCACCTGCGCTCCCCAAACCTTCTCGTGGCCGCGGCTCATCTGCCGAGCTGCCCTTCCTTGGGGCTGGGCCCACTCCCCACCCTCTGCTGCTGCTAGTCTGCTACCGGGAGCGGGGGTCGGCAACCCTCCCACTCCCCGAACGCTGCCATCCACAGCGCGGCGTGACACCCCCTTGCCTCCTCTGCCGGCCGTTGCATCGCGGCAGGCTCCTGGAGGCTGCACCTGGTGTGGAGCCGTGGGAATGCTGGCGCCTGCCATCTCAGCGTCATTCCCAGGGCTTTGCCACGCAACCCGCCGCGCGCATGGCAATCCCACATCCGACCAACTCTGGACTGCACACGGCAGTCCGAGACTCTCGACCTGCACCCTAACCCTGCAGTGTCCCACCCTTCCCATTCGATCTCTGGCAGCAGGGTTGACGTCCTTACCCTCGACCCGACACCAGAATGGCACGTTTCCATGGGCACCGAAGCATGCACATCCATGCTGGCAATTAATGTGCCTCTAGTGGCTTGCTTGTGTGTAAGGAACACGTGTTCTCAGGCGTCTGCACTTGACGAGCAGGTGGCCCACTACATGGAAATCTGTGCCTGAGAATCTGTCCGGTGGAAAATCGCGGAGGGAAGCGACGGATTCGCCCATCCCTTGGGCGTGCGTGGGTGAGACCAGGCACAAAAGTCCTTCCCTTGATAGCTATTGTTGTATCGTACCTCATCATCTAGACAACACCGCCGCCTTCGAAGCATGTTGCAGTCTGTCCGCCTCTCCAGGCCATTCGTGTCCCCGGCAAGCACCCGGACGTCGCTGACCTGCACAGCTAGACGTCCAGACCGGCCGTCACGCACGAATGCACGTCTCCAGCCCAGGGGAACAGCGGGAGTGGGTGAGTGACGGAGGTCTCCGAGGCGTTGACAGCGCCCCCCACTGCTGACGAGAGTTAGGCTCACAGGGTTCCCCGACCTCCCCCAATCTTCGCAGCCCCAACAGTTAAGGCAGCCCCCCCGCCTCCAGCAATCAAGCTGACCGACAAAGCTCTGTCTCACTTACAACGACTGCGGGCCGACAAGGGCAGACAGTCGGTGATCCTGCGCATGGGCGTGCGGTCGGGGGGCTGCTCCGGCATGACATAGTAAGCCCAGTGAGAGGGGAGCCTGGTGCTTTGGTGAGCTCAGGTGTCTGACATGCCATGGAAGGAGCATTGTTCATCGCAAAGTGCTTCCGTAGGTGGGAGACCGTGCTGGGATGGCCTCTATCTTGCTAGGTGCAGGTGCAGTGCATGCGTACCTGTACATTACTGCCAGGAGCACATCACGATTTCCTCGTTCCTCGACCCTCCCAGCTTCATGGACTTCGAGGACGAGGACAAGGTGCTGCCCAGCGATGCTGTCATGGAGTATGAAGAGGGTTTCAAGCTTGTCTGCGACTCAAAATCGCTCCTGTACCTCTTTGGCATGTCCCTGGACTACTCAGATGAGCTCATAGGCGGCGGGTTCAAGTTCAACAACCCCAATGCTGAGAGCTCCTGTGGCTGCGGCAAGTCCTTTGGAGCCTGACCGTGGCAGTGCTGTGATGCGTACCCCATTTCCCATGCTGCCCTGACGGGTGGACGTCCTGTATCATTTAAAACCCCAGGCCTGGCTGTAATGGGCGTACAACAATAAATGGGACCGTCATGGAGCCCCAACGACCGCCTGAGGGGTGTGGGATTATGCCAGCACAACAGGCTTGCCAGGCTGGAAAGCAGGGGTGGGGACATAGTTACACAGTCGGGCATGCCCAGATCAGGCATCCGGCAGGAGGCCGGAGAGGTCGGTGATGGGGACGCGGGACTGGTCAATCTCAACCACCAGTGTGTGGCCCTTTCTTGCTGTGGTGGGGCCGTCCTTGTACAGGCTGGGCAGGTACAGACGGTAGGCCGGCATGTAACAGCTCACAAAGTCGGCCACCTGATGGACGAAAGTGGGGGGGGTCTTTGGGATGAGGAAGTGTGTGAGAACCTTTTCAGACAAAGGCTTGCGGGCGTGGGCTGTGGACAAGGCGCAGGTCCCATCTGAGGGGAGCAAGGCGCATGTGCTGCAGCCCCTACGCCCCATGGCAACTCAGACGTGCCAGCGCTTTCCCCATCCCAGCAACCCTCATTCCTTTCCCCCCCAACGAGAACCAAGCATTGCCCTCGCCTGCGCATCGGTCATGGCGGGTTTACCGGACCGGCGCTGCTTCTGCTCAGCTTCCAAACGCCAGGCGGCGGCGTACCCAGCATCTGCCACCTGGATGACGATCCAGGAGTGCACATACATATCCCATGCATCCTTGTACCTGTTCATGGCGAGGTGAAAAGGTCTGCCAACACTCCAGGGGTGCATTGATCACACCCTGGGCTCCATGACTGTAGCAGCTGCAGTATCCCGACTTCTGCAGGTTAAGTTGTGCAGTCCAACAGCAGTCACTGGGCGGCCGCACGAGAATGTGTGCCGTTCAACTCCCCGCATCCCCTGTGGCCATGCCCTATCGCCCATCCGCCCCCCCCCCGAAAAAAAGTCCTCCACCTGCGCAGGGCGCGATTGATGGGCACGAGGTCTGGGTCTATCGCAGCCGCAGCCTCCTCATCGGTGGCCTGAAACCCCAGCATCCAGCCTTCGAAGAGGACCAGGTCGACCGGGCCCTCTACCGCCGCCCACTGGTCCTCGGGGAAGCGGTCGCCGCGCCCGGCGTGCGCGGACTTGTCGTAGCGCGGCACGCGCGTCCGAGCATCGCTTCCAGCAGCAGAGCTCAGCGCACGCAGCGTGGCGGTCCCCAGCTCCAGGTCATGCGTCAGCGCATTGCCTCGCTTCTCCAGCAGCCTGTTGCCCGGGTGCTCGCCGCTCACTGCAGGGGACGTAAGGAGTGAGGGGTGTTGCAGTGGCCCCAGGTGTTGTACAAGTAGAGAGTAGGAGTGCAGGGTGTGACCGGTGGGGCAGCAGGCGGCGGTAAGCCAAGGGGCAGGCATCTTGCCAGCCGGTGTCGCAGTCACCGAGCCATTTGGCACTCAATGGCTCTGACGACTCCCGGTGCAGTTGCAGAGTGGCGAGCCAGGTTTCTAAACCCCCCATGAGGCCGCTCCAACTGTTACATGTCCCCAGCGTCAAAAGGCCCCCCTCCTCCCCAGCCCCTCGACCCTTACCTCTCTGCAGCTCGGTGTGGGTGAGGTAAAAGTCGTCGATGGAGACACCCACGGCCTTCAGTCCCTGCTCCTCAAAGGCAGCGTGTAGCTCCTCGCAGAGCGTAGACTTGCCGCAGCCCTGGGGAGCAGAGATGCCCACGACCAGTGGGCCCCTCTCCCCTGCGTCCCTGTGCTGCTTGAGCTGGTCCTGGATCCAGGCATACACCGGGAGGTAGTAGTGGGACACCCTGGCCCTGTGGTGGCGGGAGTAAGATCAAGGATGGGTCGTTCGTAAAAGGAGGTGGTGCACCTGCAGTGGAGCAGGGCACACCCTGCCAGGCAGCATGGCCCTGGGGGTACCTTGCTTCGGGAGGCACTGTGTCCCAAGATCCTCCATGCCCCAGGTGTGCGAGCATGAATTTGGCCACCCCATCCAGAGGGCTTGGGGCAGGAGGGGATAGCCTGCTTCCCCCTGCATGGGCCATGGCAGGCAGAGCGTAGCAGCGTCCGACCGGAGCGGCAGCACGATAAGGCTGGATGAAACAGTGACCAGGTCTCGCAGCAATGCTCACATGCATGGGTGAACTGTTATATAAGAGACAGGTCTGGATCAGAGCCAAAGAACGGCATGATCCAGTACTGGCTGAGTACTGATCGATCGTCATGGCGGGGGTCCACGGGGCAGCTCAGTGTCGGAATGCCTAGTGAGGGAAAGGGTTTCCTGGAAGTGCTTTTCTCTCACACGTCGTCCTGAAAACATGATGGCTTCCCCTTCAACTCCATCAAACATAATGGAAATTTACATGCCTCGTTCATGCCCAGTCTGGCCCTAAGGGAAGAGGTTTGATTTGGTACCTTGCTGGTGACTCTGAGGATGTCGAGTCCAGCCAAGAGTCGCAAGCGAGTGCGCTTCTCAGACCAACCTCAGATTCGGGAGTTCGAACCTGCTTTGTTTCCTGCGGCTGAGTCGACGGATCTGCAGGATCTAGAGGGTGAGCTGCTGCCTTTGCTCTCGTGACACCCCTGCCTGCAGACTCACAGGCAAAGACGCCTTTTCATGCATGAGCCCACAGGTGGCATCGATGCGGTGCACCTGACCACCGTGGATCCCGCGAGGGCGGCATCTGATCGTGCAAAGCGGCGCAGGGATGCCCTGATGATGAGCTTTGAGGAGGGCATGGAAGGGGACGAGCTTGCCGCAGAGGCCGAGTATGATGACATCCCTGTCTCCAGCAGGTGGTGTTTGCTCCTCATGCCTTGCAATGACAGGAGGTCATGTGCCCCAAGTTGACATGAGCACAGCAATCTAGATGCCAACCACGGGCCCTAAACCCTGCAGGCTTGAGCATTCGGCCCGGTTGGAGCCTTTCCACATGAAGCGAGAGAGGGAGCTGGGTTACTTTGACGCCGAAACAGGGGACTATGTCGAGTACGCATCTCGGAGGGACGTCCCTGACGCGTGGGCCGATGCACTCCCAGGTCAGGAGCAGGTATCTGCATGAAGCTATCGAGTAGCTACTCGGCCTGCCCTGCCAAGGGGCCCCGTGCATCCTGGGGGTCCCGGATATGTCGCTGCTGCGAGATGATGCAATCGGCACATCCAATAGTTGTTACTCCTTTCTCTCCCACACCCACAGTCACCGAGTCCATGGAGGATGAGGACGACAGCGAGTCAGCTGAGGAGGCTGAGATTGAGATGGGCGCAGACAAGGGCGGCGATCCTGCATTGCTGAGGAAAACGTGGGTGCTGCAAGCTGTGCTTCGATGGAGAGGGTGGATATGGGCAGAGGCAAGGAGTGGCAGCAAGGACTGACGATCCTCCCAGCAACACTTGGCTCACGCTGGGCTGCTTTGGTCGTCGCTGCGTTGCCGGGAGTGGAAAGGATTTTCATTTTTCAGACAAAGCTTTCCTCCGCTCCCCCATGTTCACTCAGCCCATGCTCCCCTCTTCCTCTTGCCACAGCATCGTGCACGCCCTGCGTGAGGGCGAGACCGTGCTGAGCGCGCTCCGCCGCATCGCCAGGGAGCGGGAGGTGGCGACGGGCGGCGGTGCTGCGGCTGCCCCGCTTCGGCGAGCGGTGGGTCGCGGTGTGGGAGGACTGAGGAGGGGTTTGCCTGTGCCTCGCTGACGGTCTCCTGTGACCTGCAGGCTGGTAGTCATGTCAGAATTCAGGCGCCTGGGTAACAGCATCAAAGACCCCCCCCCAAAAAACCATCACGAACAGTCCATGCTCCCGGCCGCGGCGGCAGCCTTCGAGGAGCTCACGGATGCGGCGGCGCAGCTCATGCGCAGCGTGGGAGACTTTGGGCTGTACAGCAAGACGAGGGAGCAGATTGCGGCCGGGGGTGCCGCGGCGCTGGGCCCGGCCGCAGCGGGCGGTCTGACGGCCACGCCCGGGCCAAGCCTCACGCTCATGGCTGGCCGGGGGGCCTCAAACGGCGATGCAGGGGCGGCTACATTCCACAACCCGCCCCCGCCTGCTGACGCGGAGCTGAACATATATGGCGAGGAGGGCGGGGAGGGGCGGGCCGAGACCCCGGTGTCGGAGCGGCCTCTGTCCCCCGCCGATGCGGAGGCCCGCGCGGCGGGCGAGGGCGACTCGAAGGGGCCACGGCTCCTCCCTTCCCCGCTGGCGCAGGCCCAGCCCTCCCCTTCCTCGCCGGAGCCCAAGGAGGAAGGCCCTGCACCCAGCCCAGTTCCCTCCGGCGTGGGAAGCGACCCGCTGGACGGGTTCCAATTAGACCCCGGATCCGGGCAGTGGGTGAACCACTCCCTGGGCTGCACCTTTGACCCCGCGACCCAGTTGTACGGGGACGTGGAAAGCGGCGCGTGGTACCGCTGGCAGGACGGGCAGTACCACCCGGTCGTCACAGGCTCCTCCTGAGCGCGCCCCGGCCCCTAGGCTCCCCTGGCCAGGCCACCCAGTTCCGGTCTCATGGCATGGTACAAGTTCCCAAAATGACACCATGCGTGGCCTGCACCCCTTCATGCTGCAGGCCACCCCTTCATGCTGCAGGCCACCCCTTCATGCTGCAGGCCACCCCTTCGTGCTGCTGGCCTTTTCAAAACTTGAATGACTACCCTCGCAAACCTGCACTTCTCTCCGCTGAAGGCCCCTGCAACGATGCTGAACCCGCCTTGATTGCAGCGCATGCGGCCCCGTGCGCCGGTGGGCACACTGAAAACCTCGGCCCCCACCAGACCACTGTGCTCCTTGTCATTGCATGCCTTGCACTCTAGTTTGACCCAGGCATCCCCAGCGCGCTTCGCACACTGCAGCACTGGCCGTGTCAACGCACGACTCTTTTATCCGCATCATCCAGTGCATGACATCGTGCGCAGCATGGCAGGGGTCAGGGGGCATGCCAAGGCTTCATTGGGTGATCAAGGGGGGGGCCCCCCTCTTTAAGAGGCACCCCCTTCCCCATATCTTTCCTCAAGGGTGCTTGCCTCCGCCGCTGGCCAGGCAGGCCTCCCAGCGCTCGCCGTCGATGTCTGTGTGGTCTGGCCCCTCCCAGGGCAGCGCCTGCGGCGTCAGCGTGGGGAAGTGGGCGGCGATGGCCTCCCGCACCCAGTCCCCCACCAGCGTCTGGCCGGCCGACGAGAAGTGCAGGCCGTCGCACAGCAGCTCTGTCTCCCACCCCGGCCGCTGGCTGAACCCGGTCCACAGGTTTATGCTGGGCAGGGAGAGGGAGTGGGCGACCTCCGCGGCCGCCGCAGCGTAGGCGCCCGAGACTGCGGCAGTCCGCTCCGCGCTTTCCAGGGCCAGACCCCGGGTCTGCAGGGCGTGCGTCAGGCGGGTGGGTTCGTGGACGGGGCCCGGCGTCAGCACCAGGATGTTGGCCACGCCCAGCCTGCGGGCGTGCTGCACGATGGCGGCCAGGTTGGCTTTGAACTCCTCCAGCGGCACGTGCTGCTTGGCCCTGGCGTGTGATGGGGTGGGGAGGCCAGGAGAGGGAGTCTCAGGAGCAGGGCTGAGGCTGGCGTGGAGAGGGGGCTGCAACCCTTGCACAGGTGCGGCAGGCCGTTGGCCGGGCACGTGGGGCCTAGGCCAGGCGCAAGGCCCAAAGGTGCAGTGGGGAGGAAAGGCCACAAGGGTCAAGCCCGACTGATGGCCACCAAACCTCTATTGCAAGCCCGCGCCCCACTCACGATGAGCGATCGGGCAGGCAGGCGTCGTTGGCGCCCAGGCAGAGGATGAGGAGCTGGGGTGGGGGGCCTGGCTTGTCCAAGGGGAGAATGGTGGGGAGCAACCCCAGCACCCAGCGGGAGTTGTACCCGCTGTAACCCCGGCACTGCACGTCGATGGACCGGGAGTAGGCATTCACGAGACTCGCACCCCACCCCGAGGGCTCGAAGCTACGCTGGGTCAGACTGTCCCCAAGCAAGACCCAGACGGGCCGCATGGTGCAGGGCTCGCGGAAGGGCAAGGCAGTACGGCAGGTTCCCTTCCCGCTTGGAAGCTCCCCGGCCGGATCGGATGTTTAACAATCTCCCAGTGGGGAATTGTGGCTTCATTGCCGTGCATGCCAGCGTCAATCACCCTCGACACCGGCAGATCGAGGGGTATCTCTGGCCGGTGTCCGGGGTACTGACGGAGCGGTGAACACGTTTCCGTAGGACTGCATGTTTTGCAGCACCCCTCACGGTTCCCTCCTTTTTCCCTTGCCTCCATACTCCTTGCTCATCCAGCCTGGGATATCGTCGCTGCACAGCATGGCACATACAATCGTACTAGCACATAAGAGCATAATATACATCATTCGCATCTGCCTGGGAAAAGTCTACAGGGGGGGGGGGATGTCCCCTCCCATCACGCCCGTTGCCTGTTCGGTCAGCGGGAGGGAATCCCTGGATCGGTGTTTCGCGCGCCTGGCGCTCCTGATGTCAGGCGATGCCCCCGACCCCGACCATGAGGTTGAAGTACAGATCGTACGTCTTGCCAGTTGGCAGCGTCACGTCGGCCTTGGTGATGGAACGGCCCAGGGTGTTCTTCAGCGTGACGGCCAGGTTGTAGGACCCCAAGTCCTGGACCCCAGCCACCACGAGGCCGGGGTTGACGATGAAGCTGGCGGCGGGCTGCAGGCGGCCGGGTCCCATCAGGATGCGCTTCATGCCGCCGTTGGCCATCAGGTGGTTAATGTAGAAGGTCCGGGTGGTGCCTGTTCCAGGGACGAGGAGTGTGTGGGAGAGTGGGTGAGGTCTTCATGCAATCAGAATGCGATGGGGCACAGCAGATCCTGGAATGCAGGGGCCAGCTTGCACAGTCTGTGGACAATGCACCAGTGACTTGGCAGAGTGAAGGGATGAAAAGTGGTGGGCAGCAGCGATTCCCCCTGGTGGGTGGGTGGGGGTCCCAGCAAGTGCCTGCCCCCAGAAAGTGTGGCCCGGCCTTTCAGGAGCCCAACCAGCCGGCGGCCGAGACATGCGTGGCTCCAGGACGCCTCAGAGTGATGTGCGCTGGTCGCCTTGGGACGGTCCGTCCTGGTCGGCTGCCCACGTGGACACTCCAGACCGCAGCCTCGGCCCGTCCAACCCCTTCCCCCCTCAGGGACAAACAAAACAAAGCCGCTGGTCCCACCTTTGGGCCAGGTCCCGGTGATGAGGGCGGCGGGGAGCTTGACCACCGCAAAGTTGGTGCTGATCATGTCGCCGATGGGCGGGTTCTTGGTGCGCGTGGCAACCAGGGCCTTGGCGCTGTCGCGGTTCCACGAGGCATCCCAGTTGATCTTGGCGCCCGCGCCGGTGAAGGCCAGCACCTTGCTGCTGATGGGCCCCGACAGTTTCATGACCAGGTTCAGGTTGTTGAAGGCCCCTGCCAGGGTGGGGGGGTGTTTGGGGTTGGGAAGGGTGATGGGTTGGAGGTGGGTGATTACCCAGGGACGGGCAGCAGGTGCTGGGCATGGGGTATGGGAGCCAGGGGGGCGGTTGCCCCAGCTGTTTGTTGTTGGGGGCGCAGGCCCCACTCGGTAAGATGCCCGGCACCCTTCTGAGCCCACCTCACCGAGTCAATCCTCCACCACGTCCCACCCCTCCCGCCCACCACCACGCAGCAGGCTCACCGATCACAAGGGTCGCCCCCGCAGTGAACCCGCCGGCCCAGGCCGTGACCTCAGCCACGACGTTGGACACCGCAGCGGCGACGCCGCTGCGCACGAGGGCAAAGGTGGAGCCTGTGTTGGCGGGGTCTATGGCGGAGAAGCTGACCTTGAAGTTGGAGAGGGCAGGAGCGCCACCGGAGAAGTAGACGCCGGAGGAGGCGCCGGACTTGGCCCGCAAGAGGAAGTTGGAGTAGACGGAGGTGGCAGAGATGGTGTCCCCCGCCCGAGCATTGACCCAGACGGCGTGCCCCAGGCCGGTGGCAAAGAAGGCCTCCAACTGGTTGTCGACGATGGCAGGTGCGGCGGCGCTGGTGGCCAGCTGCAGCCCCACCGCGCTGGAGCTGAGCATGGGGACGTAAGCGCGCAGGCCGCGTACGCCGCGCAGGGTGAGGGCGCTGCCGCTGAAGCCGGTGAGGTAGGGCAGGGTGAGCGGGGTGGCGTAGGTACCGGGGGCGAGGATGAGGCCGTCGGGGGAGGGGGCGGAGGTGGTACCGGTCAGGAAGGAGCGGGCGGAGCCCCAGATCAGGAGGCTGGGGGTGAGGGTGAGGGGGGAGGACAACCGGGTCTGCCCTGTGACGATGATGTGGCAGAGCGTGGAGGCGCAGGCGGCGCGGGCGGCTGCCAGCGCCACGCTGGCGTCGGTGTTGGAGGACGGGCCCATCCACCAATCGGGGAGGATCCAGAAGGGTCCGGGGCCAGAAAAGACCACCCGACCCGCGCCAGAGATGACGCGGCCGCGGGGGAAGCGGGGCTGGGCCGACAGCGTCAGCACCGCCCCGGCCGCCAACTTGACGCTGAGGAAGCGGCCCGTCACCAGGGGCTTGCCCAGGCTGACGCTGGTCTTGATGTTCAGGCTGGCCCCGGCGTTAAACTTGTCGGCATAGATGTAGGTAGTGGAGGGGGAGGCGTCCTGCGATGGCGGGGAGAGGGAAGCGTGGCACCTGGGGAGCAGGCAGGAGCTGGGGAGCAGGCAGGGTCTGTGGATCCGGGACAGGGCAGGAGGTCACGCGCACCGCTCGCTTCAGGGCAGGGGAGTCATCCCCACTGTTCAGGCTAGGGTTGAAGTTGCGGAGGTCGTTGGCGTTGCATATGGCCGGAGCGCTAGACACCTGCATGGAGGGGGGTCGTGGGCCGCCTCACACAACGGGTTGCCGAAACCCTTGGGTCGATCGATTGACTCGGTACACTCCCGGATTTGGTCAAACAAGCTGCATATTACCTGGTAGGATGTTAGGAGCACAGTGACGCACAGAAGCGAGAGCAGAAGACGTGCCATGTCGGCAGCTATGGACCGCAACCCCTGGTCGAATCTGGAAAACCACCGGCAATTGAGCACGGAATCCTTCGCGCAGTCTCAGTTACAAGAAGCCACTGGGGAGAGTTATGGCAGGTCTGGAACCTATTCGGTAGCTCATCCCTCTGCTCCGACTCCTACTCCGGACCCCCCTTGTCCCTCTGGCGCAGCTGACCTTGCGCCCTCCGGATCCACTCCGGTTACAGCAGGCAGCTGGGGCGTCAAAGGTTCAAATACCCGCAGTGATGTCAAGGGGAGGTACACAAGCCACGATCCAAGCACTAGGAACGATTTTTGAGGTATTTTTGACGCTGGTGAGCCGTTCTGTCGAACTTAGGAAATCCGAACATTCGGGTCTTGTTGTCTGTTCATGACAGGATGCGACAGTTTAAGGCGGTAAGCACACTTACACCCACTACCCAAGTTGTTGCCATATGAAATCCACCCCAAGACCAGATATATCTTCACTTCTCTTATGTGACCGAAGGTGTGACGCGTGTATTACAATTGGCCGCGAGCAGAGGAGAAATGCAGCCGCTATCTATGAATCAGCTGCAGAAATTTGAACAGATCAAGAATCAAGAAGAATGTGCAAGCTTGTTGGAGAGGAAGACTAGATCATCATGGAGTCACACCAGTGCTATCACTGGGCAAGCCTGTGGAAGCGTCTAGCTTGAAGTTTCCCGGGGGTCTTGGCGTTGTAAGGAGAGGGGGAGGGGCTGGTTGGAAAGCTAGGAGGAGGGGAACTGATGGTAGACCTGTACGGCGAGGGAGGGGGAGTAATGGAGGGAGAGACTGTAGGGCTGGGGTTTGGGGTGGGGGAAGCTGATGGAGATGGAGTGTAAGGGGTGGGCGGAGGTGCAAGGATTGAAGGTGAGATGGTGGGGCTGGGGCTGGCCTTGGGGGATAGGCTGGGGCTGGCCTTGGGGGAAGGAGATGGAGATGGGCCGTAGGGTGTGGGGGGAGGAGGCACGCTGGAGGGCGGCGTCTT